TTTCTAATGGAGATAGTTATTCGCACATAATTCACACATATCCAAATTACCTCTTGTAGACATTTCTTAGAGTACACTTTTCAAGTAAAGATTAGATTCAAATCAAATTAACGTTAGCATGACTGGCGATAAATCGATGGTCAAATTGATCATCATAACTTCTAAATTTTACTTACTTACTTACTTAATTTTATCTCTTGGTAATAATCTGAAACGTGGCAGATCAATAAATTCAGAGTACAAAACAGTTTCAAATATTATTAAACTTAAGTAAATTAATAAACTCAATAAAAAAACATTGGCTATCTAGCTGTATTTTGCGTGGTTACATGATGCTACTTAAATGTTTTAAGTACTAAAACACAGTATAAATCAGTTTGTCGAGGTAGTTGAATTTATGTTTACATCACCAGGACACAGAAAATTTAAGTTATTTTTGTTATCTAAAGGATTACTTGAATAATATTATACTGGATTTATCCCTGGACTTGTTTATATTTTTTTATTACAGGATAGTACACAAAATATTAACTCGGAAGTCTTGAGTTTTGAAATATAAACGGTAACTACATATCAAGTAATTGGATGATATTCACCTTATAGGGCATGAGTTCAGATCTAGCATATAGATTTGTGACAGATAGGTACTATCACAGTATGATCATTGTTGGATTTAGTATTGGCTGACATCGTCTTGGCGAACATTCAGAGCAATAGTTTAGCAAAAACTAAACAAAATTTAAACACTTATAGCAGATATAACGATGACACTTTTATTAATTGTTACTTACTTACACCTGTTACTCCTCGTGAAGGAGCATAGGTCGCTCACCAGCATTCTCCATCCAACCCTGTCCTGGGCAATCCTTTCCAGCTCCTTCCAGTTGTAATTCATCCTTTTCATATCTGCTTCTACTGTCCGACGTAATGTGTTCTTAGGCCTTCCTCTTTTCCGCTTCCCTTCAGGATTCCAAGTTAGGGCTTGTCTCGTGGTGCAGTTTGACGGTTTGCGTAATGTATGTCCTATCCATTCCCATCGTCTTTTCTTAATTTCTTCTTCAGCTGGAAGCTGATTTGTTCTCTCCCACAAAATACTGTTGCTGATGGTATCCGGCCAATGGATGTTGAGTATCTTGCGAAGACAGCTATTTATAAATACTTGTACCTTCTTGATGGTGGTTGTTGTAGTTCTCCAAGTTTCAGCTCCATACAGTAGAATTGCCTTGACGTTGGTATTGAAGATTCTCACTTTGATATTGGTTGAAAGTTGTTTTGAGTTCCATATGTTCTTCAATTGTAGGAATGCGACCCTTGCTTTCCCAATCCTCGCCTTTACGTCTGCATCTGAACCTCCTTGTCTATCGACGATGCTTCCCAGATATGTGAAGGATTCTACATCTTCCAGAGTTTCGCCATCAAGGGTGATTGGATTGCTGTTCTCCGCTTTGAATTTGAGGACCTTGGTTTTCCCTTTGTGTATACTGAGGCCTACTGATGCAGAGACTGCTGCTACACTGGCTGTCTTTATCTGAATCTGTTCACGTGTACGTGATAGGATGGCTAGGTCATCTGCGAAGTCCAGATCGTCTAATTGGTTCTGAGCTGTCCATTGTATTCCGTGTTTTCCTTCAGATGTCGAGGTCTTCATAATCCAGTCGACCACCAGAAGAAAGAAGAAGGGAGAGAGTAAACAGCCTTGTCTGACTCCGGTCCTTACTTGGAATGCATCTGTGAGCTATCCTCCATGCACTACTTTGCACTGTAGTCCGTCGTATTAGTTCTGAATAATATTGACAATCTTCTCCGCCTGTAGCTCTTCTAGAGTTACTGCCGGTCCCAAGCCCGGGTAAAGGAGGAGGGTTGGGCATGGGGTTAGCGTCCCCATCCCGTAGAAAACTAACTCGCTAAAAAAACGCTTTTATTAATTGTGACAAAGGTTATCACCTTGATATTTTAGTAAATATTTTTAATGTTTGAAAATCACTCATCCCATTTACCTTATAGAAAGAAGTAATTTCCAAGGTTTTTACTAACAGAGAGAGAGAAGCTAGAACTAGGTAGAACTAAATTCGTAGAAAATCCACCTGGAAAAGTTATCTTACACATTATCATACTATTCTATCATGATTACTATATTAATGCCTCCAGTTCATTCTTATTCTTGTCTATAATCGAGTTCACTGACCTAATTAGATAAAAATATATCGTAATCATCTATTTTACCATAGTATTCCGGACTCTGACCGTGTTTTATGTTTACGAGTTACTTTTATAAATCATATAGCAATATATGTTACACTGCAGTGAACGAGAGCTCAGGTGAGGACAACCAAATGCATTTAAATACATTACAGGATATCTTGGTAAAATCTTAGAACCATAAAGCAAATACTTCATTTGCAATATATCCATCAAGTGTCTCAGACCTTGCTGTTCCTTCATTTCCATACCAATTACTCCCTGTTCTGGTTCTCTTCTCTTCGATTTCCCCAACCTGCTGCCAAGCATTTCACTTTCGATTGGTGATGCATACTACTTATATCTGTCGACATGAATGGCACATACCACAACACATTATTTATAAGCTGTACTTTATGAGTTCCATTTACAGTATGCATTTGAATTAATATACAAAAATTTTCCACTGAAATAATTATTTTATATAAATATGATTGTATGACCTTTTTTAGGTGAAGCTTTCGAAAATAAAGCTCATCATCTCTGAAATATTCATTTTAATTTTTTAGTGGAGATTATGAAGTTGGTGTTATTTTATTGCACAATTTTTCGCTCCTATGGTGACCAGTTATTCTTCATGTCTTATAATGGATCTACAAATAAATTCATTGAATGCTTGTATTGTTCAACATTTTTTTCTAAACAAGTTGTATTTCAAAAATTTGTTAACTGAATGTAAAGTGACATTTACATTCTCATTATATATTAATGAATATAGAAGTTCACATTTATTCATGGTGATGGTATGTAAACTAATGAATTAATAGAAAAAAAATCAACTTAAGAACGAATGACAACATTTGGAAAATACAGTACAGAGTACTGGACAGGTGATCCGTCTAAGAATGGGATTAATTAGGAGTGTGTGCCTATAACCCCTTGTGACACTAGGACAGTTGTTAAATTTCTTAAGGATATCTAAAAAAACCTGAAGGTGTTGGTTTCGCCTCGTGGGAGCGTTTTGGGTACGTACCCTTGACAAATACAGTACTACAGCAAAATAGCTAACTAGTGTTTAAAGGTTTTCGACGGCACCTTAAATAATACCAAACTCCATCTAATACCACCTACAAATGTTAATGGTTGATTGAATTCGGAATTAGTTTTATATGCAGCTGAGAATAACATGACTAACGGCAACAAATTTATCTAATTCTACAGAAGTTACTGTTATGGATACAGAAACGTACTTGCATTTTTAAGCGTGCATCGTAATAATTAAAGTTTATTCAATTTCATCATCTATTATCTATCAACTCAAATGAATTAAAGTAATATAATGTTAATAAGCAGTTTATTGAGTTATCTTAAGGAGGGTTTGATAGCGGCTTGGAGTGGGAATCAAGATACACCTCATTCTGTTTGGGACTCGTCAGCTGAATGTATCTGCTCCCTTGTTGATGTTCATACCAGGACTTGGAAATAGTGCCTTTCACTTCAAGAACTCAACGCATTATTCACTTAACTTCTGAGTCAAGATGGCGACCGGATATAGGACGAAACTCACATCCTAGATTCCACCGCTAGTCACCATCCAACTACGCTTAAAATGCTTTTAACTCAATGGTTACATCGAAGCAACTTGCTAGGAATTGACATATCCCATGAAGAATTAGTCAGTTGCAGTTCTTAATATCAATAACGGAAAGATTCAAGCAACTATTCAAAATGAATTTTTTGAGTTGTTTTCCATAAGACAAGCTCTTCTTTATCTTTACACATAAACTGCCACTTTACTGGTTAAATACATGTGCTAACTTGCTTTGTAAAGAGATAATATGGTGTGGGTTAATTATATTCACATAAGTAGTATATAACGATGGTCAGGAATAGAATGTATTTCAGTAGACGATCGAGAACGAAAGAACGGAAACGGAAAGCGATTGGTATGAAAATGCACGAACATTGAAATCTGAGGCGATGGACTGATATTTACTAAAAGAGCAGTCAAGTTTGAGATAATTGATTGATATTTTGCAGATTAACTATTTACTGTATGATTCTCAGATTTATTGAGATACTCTATAATTTTGTGCGCAATTACATTCCGATGTCCCCTTACGTGTTCATATTCACTACAATAACATTAACTCATAAATAATAAACTAATAGTTTAACCATGCACATATTAATTAGCCAGTCTTAACTACTGATATTCCTAAGTATTAAACATTAATCCCAATACAATCGATTGATTAAATAATATCTAACTATGAATTTAATCGAATTTTAAATGTTTTACATTATGATATCACTAATCAAATTGTAAAGTTTCAATCGATCTTTATTAATAATTAATTAAGTTTTTCTCTTTTTTATCTCTCAATAACCTAAAATTACCTAATTATATCATTTATTGATATTAAATACAAATCAATAATTAAAAATAGTAATAATAATAATAATAATGATAGTAAACAGTAGAGTTTCCAATTTCTTTCTTCTTTTGTTTTTCTTATTATTATCAATCAGCTGAAAGTACAATCTCTATTTATTTGTTTGTTTTGAAAATCAATAATTTAATTCAATAATCATATGACATTATATGTATATTTCCTTCTTTCATTGGTTTATTAAAGTCTCATAATGCATATGATTAACTGATTATACAATCATAGCAACAACAACAATAACAACAACAATAAAAAGTACAATAAAACAGAATAAATTATCAAGTATAAATTTTATAAATAGAGTTTAATTGTATGTTATAACTTTCGATATTCTATTTCATTCATTCATTCATTCACTCATTATATATAATGTCAAAGGATAGAACAATAGCTATACCTGTTCATCGAGATACTAGAACATTTGAACAATATAGAAAAGATTTTTTAAAAGATGTAGAAAATTTTCCAAATTATAATAATAGTATTTTACCATATCATGATAATTGGTTTAATGAAGTGGATGATTGGATTAAATCATCTTGGAAAAGATGGGATGATGAAATGAAACGTATTAGAAATGGAATGTTTCAATTAATGGTAATATAAATGTAAATGTTTTTTTTTGTAAAATAAAACTGTTATGAAATTTTTGTGGGATCAATTTTCAATTGAGAAATTGATAGATTTAATGTGAAATGGTAGACTTAGGCAAGATATTCATTTGTCTTACAAAGGGATTGTATACTCCACAGTAGTTCACTTTATACCAATTTTTGATTTTGAAATTTCACCTTTAGAGCTAAAACAAAAAATTTTTTAAAACAAATTTAGGAGGAAAATTTCATTCAATAAATAATGATAAATAAAAATAAATAATACCATTAAGTTATATAATGTGTTCACTATTGACTAATTTCGACAGGTAATTCCGGTTCTAGCGAGAAGCTGTGAACAATGGAGTTCAATCATGTTAGGTGTGATACAAAACCTACCAATGATATTGAAAGATATTTGAACCATGTCATTGAGTGACTGAGGTTAGAATGTGAGCTAGTGAGTGTCAACTTAGTGGTATAAAGGTTAAGTGTTTCTCACTAGATCTGAATGTCCTGAGTTCGATCCTCGATAAAGTCGCTCATGGGCACTGCTTAAAAGTCCCTTTCTAAGGTGAAACAACTGTCCACTGCTTTCTAGTTCCCAGTGGTTTTTTGATTAAAGTTATTTCGTGATATAAACTGTAAAACTCAGAAATCCACATACAATAATTATAATAATTATTGAATTAAATAAGCTGAAAATACATATTTACATGAATATTAATTAGTTTATATAGATGTCACAAACTCTGGAACATGATGATGTGGGTTCGAACCTTTGCAGATACGCCTTCATGACGCGTACTAATCAACATGACATCTAAATTCATCGTATATGCTAACTTCAAAAAACAAAGTGTATAACAATACAAAATCCCTTACCTTGCTGGCTACTAATGAAATGTGGTCCATAAAATTCAAACACTTATAGAGACTAGGTAACTACGCAATGACCGATTAGTGTAAATCTTACATACCATGATAATGGTTTCAGGTCAAAGCGAAGTTGAAACAGACTAGATAACAAATAACTGACACTCTATTTGATATATTAACAAGCCAATCATCAAGTATCATTCTTCACAATAAGTTAAAATGTCCTGGTTTGTATAGAATAATCAATTACATTTTCTCTTTCATGATAGGTGAAAATGTTCAATTATACCGTCATTTACTGATGGATGTGCTTGTCTACTTACAAAAGTTTTTTTCTAACTTTTTTTATAATTATAGCCTTTGGATAATTTTGGTTTAAATAAATGGGATTTATTCGACAATTCATTTGATCCAAATAATTTAATAAGACAAATGGAACAACGTATTCAAAACATTCGTCGAGAAATGGGTATAACTGATGCACCATTTACTGGGTCATTAAATGATTTCTTAAAAGATGCATATGAAGTTGGTAAAGATGGAAAGGTATGAGTGACTGATTCTATAATAATAATATTGTGTTTTTCTTTTTAATAGATGCATTTCAAGGTTAGATTTAATGTCAAAGGTTTTTCACCAGAGGATATTAATGTAAGCACCACAGATAATCGTGTGATTGTCAGCGCTAAAAAAGTGACTGAAACTGATACATCAAAGAGTTCACGTCAATTCTGCCGTATGATTGACTTACCACAATCAATCGAACAAACAAAATTAGAATGTAATTTAACAAATGTAAGTAATGTTTTTTTCACATAAATTTATTAATCAGTTATTCATTAGTCGTTTTTATTAATATATGTAAGGGTACGTGACTTTCCGTTGTTGGTATTCGGAATAGAAATTTGATCCTTTTTTTAAAGATGTATGGTCTCTTTAAGCTAATACTTTAATATTGCTTGTATTCAAAATTTAGTTGCATTTTGGAGGATGACTAAAAATAAGTCCAGGATGTTTGTTTTACCTTAATTCATCCTTAGCGTCTTAAGCGGTGGGCACTGGGCTCGATTTAATATGAAGATCGATACTAAGATGGAAGTAGGTTGAAGTTGACAAGTCTCTGTTTATAAAGAAAAAACAAAGGTCATCAATGTGGGGTTGTGGAGCTTGTTAAGCTTTTGATTGAGATCATGAATTACCATGTGCTCACTAGTGACTAGCTTCATGAGGGAATTCTCGGAGTTCTAGTAAGAAGCCGTGACCAGTGGAGTCGAATCTGTGCAGGCAGAAACAGGCATCTACCTCAGACAATGGAAACTGATCAAGCAGTTTCGTGGATTGATTGAAGTTAGACATTAACACCTTTGTATGCGGGCTCAGTGGTCTACAGGCCAATCTTTCGCGCTCGAGACCGAAGGTCCTGGCCTCGAATCCCGGGATTGTGGGTCCGCACTGCTAGGACGAAACGGTTGTCCAGTTCTTCCAAGTTTTCAATGGTGATCTAACATTCATTGCTTCATGATCCAAATAAAAAACGTTTTTGGATCATACTACCTATAATCCAAAGTACAATCATAAGTAGTTTTGTTGATATTATTTTAAATTAATTACTGTTCTTTATTTGTTATTAATAAGAAAGTCAATTATTATTGTTATCATACTTAATTTTCATATTAACCGCTTTTAAACGTAGATGATATGAAGTAGACTAGATTTATGTTTATATGATAAATAAGTCTCGACATAGATTAAACTTATTTCATAATGCGCATAATGTCTCACAATTATCTTTATCATTATTACACATTCAAATAAATTACACTTAAGTCTGTTTCATTTTCATTTCTAGGATGGAGTCTTAATATTAGAAGCTCCAGTAAAACCAAATAATCATAAATCAGTGACATTTAATAATCAACGTCAAATTGCTATTCGACCTACGCATACTGGAAATGTAACACCATCTAAAGACCTAGTTGTGAAAGGTAATCTACACTAGTTTATTCATTAATAAAAATGCTGAAAAATACTTGTTATTCAGTACCTTAAAAAACACTGATTCTAAATTCCTCTTTTTAAATTTTAACAGGTACTAATGGCTTAACCATTATTGATGAAGGTTTCAAAGGCAAACGACTCCATATTGAAATACCAATTGACCCAATGTATAAATCTGAAGACTTATGCGTTCATGTTGATTCCAATCGTGTAGTGGTATCTGGTCGATGTTCAAAAAGTGACAGTCGTTGGACAAAAAATACACCATGTGCTGAATTTTCACATTCTTATGATACCCCACATAGAGTTGATCCATTGTCTGTAACTTCACAAATGGTGGGTAATACATTGGTCGTTGAAGCTCCATTACTGAAATCCTATTAATATTTCACAGATGACGTATAGAATGTGAAAGTCAATATGAAATCTTAACACTTTTTCAAAAACACAGAAATGTTTATAGTTCACAAAGTTACACTTACCATTATACACATTTTTTATTGTTGTAACTGTTTAAATGAGTTCTTTTTTATTTGAAATATTGAACTATAATCTTTTTATTATAATTTTTTATAGAGACAATTGTGAGTAACAACAAACAAATAGATTATTATTTTGTGAGTTTGATGCTTTTATATGGTTACAAATTTAATGGATCTTTTTTCTACTAAATCAACATATCTATTCATACTCGACATTCATGTACTATGAAAAGAACTTTTTAATCCATTTTAGTCAGTAAGAGGAACATACAAAAGAAAAATAATATATTGCTAAAATTTAATTATGTCTGAATGTTATAACTGTTGGTTTTACACGTTTACACGTATGGGAGATTAATTTACCTTAGACGAATATCTACACTAGATTCCCTCCCAGTGTCTATTCTACAGGACTTCAACACAACTCAGATCAAGAATACATGATTAGCCTGACCACAACGTAAATATATTTCCACACCGAAATCCCAACACAGTTCAACAATAATGAACAATCAATAATAATTATTATAAGGATAGGGGAATATATAACTCATCTGACACCTGTCAGACTATCTACATGTCTGACTACGCAGACAACCAATCATTATCATTCTTGCTCATACATCACTGAATAACTTTGTCAGTAATATATTTTTTTATTACATTCAGACTGAACAGTGATCACTTACAGAAGCTTCAGAGTTCAAGTTCATTGAAGTAATCAGCACTTCTATCAAATAAATTGGTTCCTAAGTTTTTCGAAAATTGGACATTATAAATACTAAAACTATTAGAATGGTGAAATATTCTTCGAATAAAACTTTTCATGTTAAGAGATTCATCGAATAGAAAATAAAGATTCAAAATAGTTTAATTCAGAACAACAGCTAAATTAAATAACTGAAGCAATGAATACATGACAATCTATGGTAACAAAAAAAATCTGTTGAAAATAAGCATATCAGATGATTGAAATTACTTTATAGGTTATTTGCAAAATTCTATGCAAGTTGCAAATACAGTAAGAAGTATAGTGTCTTTAACTAGAAAAACTAAAATAATATATTTCAAGTATGGTTATGATGTACTAGGTAAGGAAAAAGAATCTTAATTACCTACAGTTATTATCAAATACAATTAGTAGATTAAATTAATTATTAACTGAACAGAAGGAATTCCATCATAATTTCTTGATCAGTTACATTTCGAGATCATATATACCTGTCCAACTATCCGTTTCAAGTCATTATCTATTTATATAGAATTTATCTGAAATTAACAATGTTTATTTAGAACGAATGTAAACTACGTTTAATATAGAATGTAAATGTACTTTACATATCAAAAGAGAGAAAAATTTCATAATTATTATTATTTATTATTATTATTATTAGCTTTATTCAATATTATAATTTTGGTACAATATAGAATTCTCAGCGCAAAGTATTTCAACAAGTTTCCGTTTCTTTCTTCTTGGTCGGTCCTGGCGATAAATATTGAGGAATCGCCAGTTAGATGTTAGCACTTCAGTGAATGAACAACTGAATAATGTACATTCTTTTCGTTGTACATTGCCAGCAACCATATTGTCTCTTATTGAGTTTTCTGTAACTTTGACAACGAAAGGTTGTACACTTTTCAGAAACGCAGCAGAATAGGTTATGCGATTAATAAACATAATGATATATTAAAACAAACAACAATAGATAACTTGCTGAAATATCTAGATGGCAGGAACAGGTAGCCCAGATGCTCAAGCAGGCCGCCATGAAATTAGTGACATTGAAACTATTAAATTCTCAAATATTGATCATTTTGATAGATAATCATTATTTGAGTTACTTGAAATGATATTGTCACTACGCAATCTAATTGAGATTTTCAGTAATGCAATGACGGACTTGCCAAATTGTACGCCCAATATAACTGGCTCCATAGGAGCAGTTGAAACGACAAATACACATAGATTTGGCGAATTCAGGCAGTCTGTCTTTGTTGGCTGTTCTTATCTTGGGATAGTTGTAGAAGATTGCATTTAATCTGGCAGCATTAAATGTTTTTTGTACGGTTCTTCTTAGTTTCTGAGTCAAGATTTCTTCAATGGTGTCATTTATGAATTGTAACGTAACGTATCTACTCGATGAGTATTATATTATTATTGTAATATATATTTGTGTGGAGCCATGATGAAAAACTAATTGAAAAGAAATTTCTTCGCTCAATTCGTTCTTTCTTTATTTACCAAATGGCGAAATGGGAATTTTCACTATAATTGAGATTTTATTGAGCCATAGGTAATGTAATCTTACTGTACCTCTTATTATGAATATAAATTTCCACTTATCCATTTGGTTGACATTTCTAATGAATAAGATTTTCTTTAAACTTTAATTTATTTGAAAACTAGCACAAGCAACATTTGTCTTTCTTCCTTATCTTAAGGATAACTTATTCATCGAATAGTTGTATTTAAAGAGTTGTTCAGACGTATAGTTGATTATTCAACCAAAGAAGTAACCTAGTGTTTCATATTACTGTTTCAAATTGTCTGTCACTATCAGATTACACAGGAAACTATTAGGTTGTGTTAACAGAAATTAAGTTAGCAAGTAACAGTTACTTGTACTTAAAATAAAACTTAATATCAAATAGTACAATAGTTTTGAATTCATACGATCGGATACCTCAATATCGTTACAAAAATAAACAGCCTGGAATATAACACTTAGAAATTGTTACATATAGGAGTATCATTCCTGTTAAAAGTGATTGTTTGAATGAATTATGCGCAATAACATGGATGATAATCCATTTTTACAAAAAAAGTGACATCCTAAGTTTTCCGGTAGAAAGTTCTCGTAGGATCTAGTTTTTTTTGTACAGACAGTCGGACCAGAATCTAAATGAACCTATTAGTTAAGACAAGAAAAATTTGATTGTCAGTACTAATTGGTAAATTTTCTAAATGTACTATCATTGTATTAAAAACACAAACAGGAAATAAAATCATTTATAAAAGAACAATCAGCAGCGTACTTGGAAGCAGATGAAAATGTAACACAAATAATTTATGAGTAGTAACAATATTATTATGAAAATATTACAATGTTCATTGTCTAGTAATAGATTAAAGACTCCATAAGTCAATGTTAGGCTGGGGCTATTAAAGTACAACTCAATTCCTAACATGAATATTTTTAAGATTAATTCACAGTACTTATTCTTTTAAAATCATCACATTCCTATACTGCAACAATTGTTTCTTCTAATAAATCTAGGTCCTGTATATCCAAATCTATCTCTTTAATTCGAGTCTTTAAACGTGCAGTTCTCATTTATTCTTCATGACTATAATGAAAAAGTTAAGTCGTAGCTTTTGATTACGGGTTTATCCGGGAAACTGAGTCTCCAGGCCAAAACGTACTTAGTATGTTAAATTATTAAGATCCAATTTGAAGCGTCAGTAAAATCTGTTATATCTGAAATATAATACCTAGTTTTTATCCTTCCTTTTATGGTCTGTCGTATACCAAAGTCTCCTTTACTTTTACGTTTTCCTTTGACAGTCTTTTATAAGCCACCAGAAACAAATGTATTTTTCAAAATCATCTATTGTTTTACAAGTGGTCAGTTTCTTTTTATTCCCTCTGCCTCAAGTAAAGATATCTGTGACAATCAGTCAGTTACTACTGTTCAAAATAATAAACATCATAAAATTCCTCTAACTGACATTATGATATATTCACACATTCGTAGCTCGATAACTTAGTCTAGTAGGGTTGAAAGGCCATTCACGACCGCCTTCGGAAATGGATATAACCTAAGTTGTTCTGATATTAAATGCCAATAGTCAGACCTTTGCTAACATTAACTATTCTGAAAACGTGAGCCTTTGTTGATAAAAAATATGCTTTGGGTGTTTGCTTCTTACAATGAACATTGATAACGTACACACCAACAAAGTATTGTATAGCGTATAAGTCATTTGAAAATAGATCACTGTGATTTAAACAGAGTTAAGTATAGAGCCATAAGGCTTTTTGATAACCTTCCCCTTTTAATATATATGTTCAAAATAATCTTCCTTAACACAACTCACTGGGAGTGGCACGTGAACTTCTAACCTTCACTCCAGCAGTGGTGTCATACTAAACTTGAAGATGATGCGTAACAAATAAATAACATACTTGTGAAGGTTATACTATAATGTCCATCATTTAGCAATCAACTCTGGAGGAGCCGCACAAAATTCAGGTTGAGTTAGAGAGGCCGGGGTTTAAAATACAGCCTTACTAGTCAACAGTATCAATGACAATACAAAGTTAACGTTTATAAGCTTCTACAAGTCGAGAAATATCAGTTTTATGTTCACTCAGATAATGAATTTAGGAAAACTTTGAATGAATAAATTCAGTCGCAGTATGTGTGTTATGAAGCAGCACAACAGCTCTTAATGTTAGACCTCAACAAAAAATTATCCATTTGTAGTCATTTTTTAAAAAAGAGAAAGGTTTTAGGACCCGAAAAGGATATAACTTCATAAAACAGTCATATTTGCTTACGGTAGATTCATAAATTAAGATATTTGTAAGTTTGTAATTATTAAGTATTAGTTGACGCTCAGTTAGATTTATTCAAAATGTAACCATTAACTAAATTAAATTAAACCCAAAAAGATCATTTTACTCGGACATAGTTTTGATCTGTTTTTGATGTCAAATAATTCTTCATCTCTCTCATTTCCCTTCTTTTTTTTACTTAACCTTACCAGTTTTATTCAGTAGATCATTAGTTTCCTAAGCATTGTCAGTAAGCTGAAAAATATCTCAATACACAACCTCTTAAAGACAACTACTAGTCATCCAACTTTGTAAAATAACGTAAAAGTTGACAACCGATTAG